GGGTTTCTGAGGTGGTATCTCTACTGAAGTAGATTGCCCAGTCTTCTTTCTGAGGAGTAGCTGGTGGGTTTGAATCTCCAGCCTTCTTGTTAGCAGTCAAGTGCTTGCCTATTAGTGGAGTATAACTTGTGCATTTCAGAAAATATGGTTTAAAGTGGACTTAGTTTTCCATACCACTTTCCCTGAAGAGAATGATTTTTTGGCTCTACAAAGTCAACTTTTTCTAATAGAACTTATGTGTACCAGAGTAGAGCTGTCCTCCTTACAGCTCTACTGTAAGCGATCCCTCCTTGGGTGTCCAAGGCGGTATCACTAGGAAAGTAGATTGCTCAACATTCCTTCCTAGGAGTGGCTGGTGGGTTTGAACCGCCAGCCTTCTGGTTAACAGTCACGTGCCTTAGGCACTACACCACCAGAGCTCCTTGTTAAACATTAATAGACTTTTTTTTTTTTTTAAGAATAAGATTCAAATAAGAATGTGAATTCACTGAGCCAACACCAGTAGTGTAAGTGCCTTGGAATTTTTTTTTTTTTTTAATTTTTCCTTTTTTTTTTTTTTTTAGCTTCTTCTTTTTTTATTAGGATTTGGGTGAAGATTTACAGAGTAAATTCACTTTTCATACAGCAGTTCACATATACTTTGTCTCACGTAATTGACCAAAATTTACAATGCAGCAGCTCCCCTCCCACTTCCTCCCCATAGTTACCTCCTCCCAGTGTCCATCCCTTCATACTCTTCTGCATCCTGAGCTATCTCCCTGTGCATAAGCAGCCCTTCCTTCTCCCATGATTGTTTTCTCCAGGGCGTGTGTCTACTTGAGGTAAATGTTTAACTCACATGACTGTACTTTGTTTGGCTGGAAACCACAGTTGTGGGTTCAATTCCAGACCTGAAGGGCAGCTAGGGGCCATAGTCTCAGTGGTTACACCAGGCTCTATTGGACCAGCAAACCTGGTCCCCACCTTCTTTTTTTTTTTTGCTTCCAAATAGTGCCTTGGAATTTTGAACATCAAAACACAAAATGAAAACATTTTACACTATGTGATAAGAAACTATTTGTGATCTGTTCTCTACTTGAAAAGATATCTACAAAGTGATATTGTGATTAGATTTTCTGTCTTCTCAACTATTTTCCTTTTATGGAAATTAAAAAAAAAGCATATTTTTCCAGCATTAATTATTCTAATCAAAAAGGGATGGAGGAAAATTAATCAACTACAGCTTTAGAAATCAATGAAAAATTAGTCTTACATCCAAAAAATATCAAGAAGGTCTATGAATAACAATAAGAGGCAGTTTTCACCAAACGATGTCTTAGAAACAAAATGTCAATAAATGAATGATTGTCTCCCTGGTAAAGTTGTGTGAGGAAATCAGAATTTTAATACAAACTAAGTTTAATACAAACGGCTGCAAAGTTCAAGTCTGGAAAATGGCAAAATAATTGAGTTCAAAGTTTTCGTGACTATTATTTCACTCATTTTTGTAATTTGGGTATGAACCAACTTTGTTTCAAAGATACAGATTATATTCTGAATTGAACTTCTAAATATTTTAAGAAGAACTATATCAGGGGTATCCAATAATATTGAGGAATTTTCCAGTAGTTTATTTTAGTAAATTTTCAAATTGCAAATTCTCAAGCAAGCCAGTCCACAGAAATCTTGTTCTGGGCATTGTTGATCTCATCTAAACCCCAATAATGGAAAGTAATTGTGGATATTTTTGTTAGTAAGAATTTCAATTACATTCCTTTCTGAGAAAACATCTGAGTAGACTTTCTAATGAATTCCAGGCTGTATTCACGTCGCTTAGTGTGTAGTTAACATAACCATTCCAAAACTTCATCTCTGAAATCAGTGTGGGTGGATCTCATTCCAGGGAAACAATATTCTTTCTACACTGTTGTCAATGCAAAACGTTTCTGATATTTATTAGAGCGCATGGGGGTGGAGGGTGACACAGGGCATCAGATCATCTTTGCTGCATTTTGCAAGTTCTTATTGTAAATAGTGGACATGAAGGCTGTAAGTTTTTTGGCAGGAAAAATAATAAAAATCTCGTCTGGTTACTAACCTCAGATCTTACATTGATTTACGTTTTGGAGCATGTTGCCGAGGAAGCCTATGACAGATATGACTCAAGGAGGAAGTGAAGGAGTGAATGGTGGGCTGGTGGATAAGGAGTGTGTTGGACCTGAGGGGAGAGAGGGATGATGTAGTGTGTGTGGGCAGGGACTTTGAAGTGTTTCAGAGGAATCAGATCTCAAAATCAGAGTTGGTTTCTTAGGATCTGAGCAAGCAAAGTAATTATCCAGTGATTTTAATCCAGGCTTCCTATACCACAGAAAGAGAAAATCCAATGCATAGATTACTTTTCATTTTAATAGACACTGCCAATAGTCCTCTAAAGTGACTGTACCAATTTATATCCCTGCCAAGGTAGTGCATTTGTTATTCCTTTAATGCTGTGTTACTTACTTAACTAAATGTTGAGTTATGATTATTTAGGAACTAAATGTCAGTTATAAAGAAAATAATTCAATATGCACTCGGGTATCAACCACCCAATATAAGAAATAAAACATAACTTCTCAAAGGAACAACTACTCTGATTTTGTGTTTAACATAACCTTGTTTGTGTTTTTAAGTATTTTCTCCTATATGATTATTTCTTTAAATAATAAATTGTTTCATTTTGCCTCTTTTGACACTATAAAATTGTATTCATACAGTAGGCGTTCTTTGATCATTTGCTTGTTTTTGAGATTCACCAATACTGACCCATGTGGCTGTAGAGTTTGTTTTTTCCCACTGTTCTATAAATTCCACTATATGACTATACTACAATTAACTTTTGTTTTTGACAGTTGGTAGATATTTGGGTAAGTTAGTGGTTTTGCTCTTACAAAATATTGCTAACATTCTTATATAACTTTGACCCATATGAAATTGAGAATATTTGACAATTTTTGATCCCAGATAAACAGCACTTTCACATGTTCAACTAAATACATATCTACTAATGTACCTGTGGGAGCTCTGGTAGCATAGTGGCTAAAGGCAATTGACTGCTAACCAGAGGGCTGGTGGTTCAAATCCACCAGCAACTCCTCGGAAGGAAGATGGGGCAATCTACTTTCGTAGTGATACTGCCTCGGAAACCCAAGGAGGGGTCGCTATGAGTCGAGTCCGACTCGATGGCACATAACAACAACAACAACAAATGTACATGTACAGAAGTTTATACACAAACACAGATAACTCCAAAATTTAAAATAAATTTTCTGAAGGATTTTATGTTTTTCTCCACCTTAAGCTCTACCACTAACTTTGTGTTAGCATGGACTAGTTGAGTAATCAATCACTTGTGGCTTCAGTTTCTGCATCACTAAAATTAGAGAGTATGATTCAATTCTGAAGATATCTTCAGAGTTTAACCTTCTACACTTTTGTGGTTGATCAAAAGCTATCTCTGTTCCCAAAGTAATTTACTTTCGCGTGGTGGCTCATAAATGCTGCTGATGGACCAGTCCTAAGCTCGCCGACAATGAAAAACCAAAACCAAATCCAACCCACTGCTATCCAATACTGACTCATAGTGACCCCCATTGGTTTTCTGAGACCGTAAATCTGTACAGAAGTAGATTGCCTCATCTTCCTCTCCCAGAGCAGCTGGTGGGTTTGAACCGCTGACCTTCTGATTAGCAGCTGCATGTCTTAGCCACTACGCCAGCAGAGACTGAAAGCTGAAAGGTATTTTAAAGAAACTGAGTCCAAGCTATTAAGTGACTTGTCAAAGTCATACATCTGCTAAAACCAGGGCCAAGTACCTGGATTCCTAGGCCCATATTGCTACCATTTTCAGAAAAAGAAAATTTCTTGAAGTACTATTATATTTGTCTATGAAACCACAAAAACAAAAAACAAACCCACCATCAAGTCAATTCCAACTCATAGTGACCCTCATTGGGTTTCCAAGCCTGTAAACCTTTCAGAAACAGATTGCCTCATCTTCCTCATGAGGAGCAGCTGGTGGGTTCAAATGCCGACCTTCTGGTTAGCAGCCAAATGCCTTACCCACTACGCCACCAGAGATCCTATGTCTATGGAGAATAATAATTTAAATTGATCACTTTATTGCATAGAATAGAATCTCTGATTTCTAAGACATCAGTGATTGCATAAGCTACATTTTTAATTGCTGTCAAGGTATTTCCAGTTTGAGGAAGTCATTGTCTCACCCTCTATTCTGCTGTGATCATTTGCAGTATTAATCTGCAAATATTCACTCCTGTGCCCCTCCAAAGAAGAAAAGTATTCTTCCTTTGATATTGAGCTGCATGTAACTTGGTGACCAATGAATGTCAGCAGAGGTGATAATAAGAGTTTTCATATGTGCTTATGTGGTTGGGCTTACTCTCTTGCACCTAGGTCATTAATTACCCTTGAATGGATCTTCCCTGAGAAGCTTCTGCCCCTTCAGCCTGGGTCCCAGAACATAAACA